TGAATTGCACGGGACTGCGGGTTGATTCTAATAAAATAGAAGGGCTTAACTGTAAAACGCCGCAGCTGACTGCGGTTTGACCGCATGTTGCTGACTGGGTAGACACGTGGCGGTTGCTGGTTGGCGCGGTGCACCATGTGGCGTGGGCCAGCGCTAACGCGGCGCCGTGGACTGGGTGCATGGGTCCACGGTGGACCGGTCACTTAACCCCGAAGGGGTATCTAATCTGGTCCGCTCGTTCTAGATCCGACGACGCAGGCAGGATGGAAACAGCGGGTCACCGGGGAAGACACGCAGGATGGCAGCGCCATGGCCAGCGGCGTGCCAAGCTCGGCGGTGGACGTCGGAGGGGGCGTTCTGGACCTCACCGGGTCAAACCGAGCACACCGAAACGATCTACGAGTGCGTGCGAACACGTTGGGGGCGCTACCGAGGCGAAGAGATCGTGCTTGAGCGGCGTACCATGGTGGCGCCATGAACGGTGGTTCGGAGCTCGTGGATGCGACATTCTAGGGTGCCTTTTGACCATCTAGGGGCACGGGAAAACGGAGGAGCTCACCGTGAGTCGTTTGGAGGGGAGCGCGGCGTCCGGGAAGACCTCGAGGGGGCGGGTCGACGGCGGCGACAATGGCTGGAGAGAGAGCACGGCGCGGGTGAGGGTGAATCCGACCAAAACGTGACCAAAAACAAAAGATGGAGGTACCTACGGGCGCGGGCGAGTACGGCGGATCCTCGGGACTCGTCGGCGACGGGGTTAGTGCTCGGGGAGGGGGAGTTCGCCGGCGGCGGTTGCGACTGAGCTTGACCGTGGAGGGGAAAGGGAGAAGACGGGGCTCAGCTCGGCTTTATAGGCGGGCGGGTGCGGTGGATGGAAGGGGAGCGGGGCGCGCGGGCGAGATGGGGCGCTTTCCTTGTAGGAGCAACGGCGCGGCGGCTTGCCGTGGAAGCAGCACCAATGGCGGGCGACGGAAGGAAAGAGCAGGGGAAGAAAAGGAAAGGAAGAAGGCAGGCGCGGCGCTGACATGCGGGGCTGGCAGCGCAGTGGGAGAGCGGCGCGTGCGGGCGTCGGAAGGCCGAGCGCTTGCGGAGCGGCGCTGAAGGCTGAGCAGGCCGGTGCGGAGCAGCAGCTGGGCCGCCGAGCGAGTCGTGCGGAGCAGGCCAAGCGGATGGGGAGCCAGCTGGGCCGCGCGCGGGAGGAAGGAAGAAAGGGGAGGAGGCTGCTGGGCCGCTAGCAGCGGGCCGAGGTCGGGAAGAGGAGGGAGGAATAGGGCCGGCCAATTCCTGGAGTTGGGCTGGAAAATGAAGAATAGAAGTTTTTCAAATTCAAATTCTTTTCTAATTCTAGTTTTCAAATCTAAGACAAATTCCAATCGAATCCAAGTATGTTTTCAATATACTTTTCATCTCAAATATAAATGAGCAATTTTGGTAAGTTTCCTAAAATAAATTTTACCTTTTTTTTTAAATCCTCTTATTTTCAATTTTTCTTTTCTTTTATTTCAAAGCCATTTTTAATTTCATTTCAAAAGAATTTTAACCATTTTGACTTTTCAATTAAAACCATTCATACAATAAAATCAAATGCAATGCCATGCATGCTCAAACATGTTGCTAAGTTATGATGTATTTTAAATTAATGAAAAATTATTTCCCTATATTTCATGTGCACAAAAATTCCAATTTAAATCATTTTGGCTTTGTTTTAAAAGAGGCAATTTTTAGGGTGTTACACTTATACGAAAGCAAGCACGTTGAAAATAATTAATGAGATAAAAGGGATTGCATATGGAATGGTCTCACCTTTTGAAGCTTGCTACATGAAAGACAAGTATACAAATGAGTTCAATTAATGTCTTTGCAATCAATTCATATTTATTTGAAGAAGTCAAGTCACATGCTCAAGATGGCTATCCTCAAGGAGAAAATCAAATTGACATGATTGACACCCTCACTTTTCGAAGATTAAAGACAACAACATTTTGGTTCAAGGGAATTCAACTCAAGCGGTTCAAACTCCATTTTATCTTTGATCTTGAGTAAATAGGTGTGCCATACTATTAATAGGGATGCATCATGTTGATAGATGATTATTCATAAGTGCTCAAGACAACCCATGTGAGATTTGAGAAGTTGAGAGACAAAAGAGCTAACTTATTTTTGCTGGTCTAGCAATACCGGATGTGTCCGGTATCTGTCCAGCCTTGGTGAAAAACTTGCTTTCTCACTGAGACTCGTCAGGAGTTCCGGTGTGAGTCAAAAGTTTCAACAGTCGGGAGTCATCGGAAGTTCCGATATGTTCGTCGGAAGTTCCGACGTCTCGCTCGTTACTGACAAAGTAATCGTTGGCGTTGTTCAGCCAATACCAGACGATATTGATACCAGACTCCGATACCTGACTCCGATATTGATACCGGACTCCAGTATTGATACCAGACTCTGGTATTGATACCGGATGTGTCTGGTATTGCCCAATGGTCACAAAACGGCTAGTTTTTCAATGGGGCTATAAATCCCCCTTAGCCTCCACCTTTAGAGGCTGCTGATTCTACTGACCTTCAGACACATTTTAGTGTCTTGAGAACCCTCTCTAACCCTCTCTTAGTGAGTGATTGATTCAAACATGCAAATCAAATTTAGTGGGTTGAGTGAAATTCAAATTTGAGAGCAAGCCACCTTGAGCACTTGTGCATATTCGTTGATCTCATGATTCACATTTGTTACTCTTGGATTCTTCGGTCCTAGACGGCTAGGCGTCGCCGGAGAGCACCCAAGAGCTTGTGGTGTGCCTCTGAAAGTTTGTAACGGTTCGATTTCACCACCGCAAGGGAAGAAATCAACTAGCGAAAGTAGAAAAAAGGAGTTGGAAAAGACTCCAGCTAGAGAGGCCTTCGTGGTCCTCTAGAGCTGACCTTTGTTGGGTCACTCGCAGCCCCCTCAATGGAGAGTAGGTCTCGACGGAGACTGAACTTCGGTAAAACATATCGCGTGTCTCGATCTCTCTTTTCACTTGGTATTTATGATCTTTTTGTGTTGTTTGAGCTTACTGACAGGTCACAAGAGGTGCCAACAACTTGTATTGAAAAGAGAAGTCGATTGTGGCAAGTCGGGTGCTAATCCAGCAAACCCATGTATACCGAACGTGTCCGGTATCAGTACCGGACGTGTCCGATATTTGGACCAGTTGCACTTAGACCGTGTATATCGGACGTGTCCGGTATTCCCTTTCTATGCTGATTTTGTTTATACCTTGATGTAACCTTTGTGGTGTAGGGTTCTAGTAGGTAGATATTTCTTATATATCTTGCTTACCCTGTTGGCTTCCTGGTGAGGGTTGAAATTTTAGAAACGCCTATTTATCCCCTCTCTAGGCAACATTTTCGGTCCTTTCACTTATCTAAAAATGGCATTGGCTCTGGCTCCTCTGAAGGAGGGGCTACTCTGAAAGAGTTGAAGCTTTTTTGAAACACAAGCGAACTCTACGTAGACACAGACTCCGTAGCAGGGCGGGTGCGAGCGCTGGGAAGAACCGTATCAGGCGGGCCCACATGTATGGATCGTAGTCGGAAGGCGCAGGCGTGCAACGAGCGAGGCGACGAGGCAGGGGATACGACGATGACAATATTTTTTTTTCTTTCGTCAACAAAGCCCTTGCCGAATTCCTCTGTTTGAATATGTGTCTGATCTATTTCATTAGGCTGTAATCAATCCTTTATATGATTTTCGACGTGGAAGAGTTTGTTTCGATTTTTTTTTGCCACGGAAGATTTTTCCGAAAAAGGTTTTTTTGTTGCCATATATTTTATTTTCTGAAACATTTTTTTGGAAACGTAATGTTGTTTTTCGTCGGTGTCGGCAAAGATTTCATGTGCATGAATATGTGCGTGATATGTTTTTTCCATCAGCAAAGCCCTCGCCGAAGTCCTTTGTTTGAATATGAGCCTATCTGTTTCATTAGCCTGTAATCAGTCCTTTATATAATTTTCGACGTGGAAGAGTTTGTTTCGGAAACTTTTTTTTTTCGGTGGAAGAGTTTGTTTCGGAAAAGTTTTTTTTTTGTGGTATATTTTATTTTCAGAAACATTTTTCTTTGGAAACGTATCGTCTTTTTCGTCAGCAAAGCCCTTGCTAAATTTCTCTGTTTGAAGATGCGTCTGATCTGTTTCTCGACGTGGAAGAGTTTGTTTCGATTTTTTTTTTTTGTTGCCATGGAAGAGTTTGTTTCGGAATTTTTTTTGCCGTATATTTTATTCTTGGAAACGTTTGCCGTGGAAGAGTTTATTTTGGAAAAGGTTTTTTTTGCCATATATTTTATTCTCGGAAATGTAACTTTTTTTTCCCGGCTGTGGACGTGCGAAACGTTTTCTTTGCCCGGGGAAGAGTCTGTTTCGGAAAGTGTTTATTTTTTTTTAGCCATGCCGTATATTTTTTTCTCGGAAACTTTTTTTTAGGAACCGTTTTTTTTCCTGCTGTGTGGACGACGTGGAAGTTTTGGAAACGTTTTTTTTTTTGCCCAAGTTTGTTTTGGAAACAGTTTTTTTTGGCGTATCTTTTTTTTCCCGGAGCAAAGTTGCGTGGTGATTTTTGACGAGCAGGGCAGGGCGGTAGCTTGGCGTCCGACGATACCCTTCGATATTTTTTAGTTATTATTAGTGGTATAGATACTTTGTATGGCTTTTGGTTTAGATTTGTGCCAAAAATGGTGAACTTAATCTAAAGATAAGAGAACCTGCTGGACCGTTCTGATCTTGATCTACGGTGCTACAGGCGCTGAGATGTGGCTTCGGTTGTGGCCTGGTCAGCTGCGGTACGATCCGTCCGTGCGCTGTTGTCGAGCGTTCGTTGGCCGCGCCGTGTCGTTGTCGCCCGGTGAGTGGCTGGCCTGGACCGGCCCCGCCTGCAGCGTCGCCTGGGAAACGGGCTTTCTCGTAGCCTGTGCGGTTGTGGTTCGCTCCGTGGCGCTGCCTGCTGGGCTCCACATCGCGCGGCTACCCTGGGCCCCCATGGTTTTGCGGGCGGAGCCGGGGTGGGGTGCTAGGGTACATAGGCAGCAGCCGACCACTGTTCTTCTCCCCTTCCGTGACACTGAAAGGGTGGTCCCATACACGGAGGAGGTAGGGGAAGGGCCCGCTGGTCGGTGAAGCGTTGGAAGTTGGGGCAGCCGTGGTCCGTGCCGGTGGATGCGCCGCTCGCTCCGTTCACTCCGACTGGATAGAGAGAAGAACGCACACGACGCCGGTCCAGCTTCCGGCCTTAAGATTCCACAACAGGGTGTGACCACGCCCCTTATCCTATGGCCTCAAAATACACCAAGATTCGTGCAGGACAACAAGCTGTCCTAGGAAGAAGGATGTATTTGCTCCCCGACATTTTGCGCTGCATCTCATCTCCGACCTCTAGGCAATCTCTCTCACTCTCTGCATATTTTGAATTTCGGACAGAGTCACCGTCTTCCTCTCTCTCTCTACACCATTCATTTTTACTCTCTTCTTCTCTCTCTAACTCTGCATCTCTGTTTCTCTCATTCTCTCACACACTCTACCTCGCTTCTCTCACTACAACTCTCCGTCTCTCTCTCCTTCGATAACTTCCCTCGACGCCATGCCAGTTTCTCTCCATGGATCCTCGTCTCAAAGGTACTGACGTCTATCAGATCCAACTTGATTATGGATCTGCTCTCGAAATCTTGTGCGCGCTCAGATCCGAATTATTCTAGGAGTATACTCATACTGATGGTTATTTTTCTTGCAGACCCTAGATCTGATCAGCTAGAGAGGATTGCTCTATCGTCGCACGATTTTTTTCTTCCCAAACTGTTAGTATCATCAGCTCTGTTTTGTTCGTTCCGTATGTTATGATATTTGTTCATCGTTTCCTCATCCGAAATGCGTTTCTCTCTCTCTTATCTGAACTGCTCCACTTGAATGTGATTATATATTTTGAAGCACAGAGCATGCATAGTTTATGTCGTTACTGTTCTGCTGTTCACGGACCATGCATCATAAACTGTTTTTTTTTAAATATGATTCCTCACAGTCGTTCATTTACTAATTTAGCTTTGCTTAGTAATTGCTTGTAATTTCAAAACGTCTTGATTCATTTCACATTCATTGCACAATTTCAGCACGTTATGTCTTGTGCGCGGTCAGATCCGACTTATTCTAGGAGTATACTCATACTGATGGTTATTTTTCTTGCAGAATCTAGATCTGAGCCACTAGAGAGGATTGCTCTATCGTCGCACGTTTTTTTTTCCCCAATCTGGTAGTATCTGCTGCTCTGTTTTGTTCATTTCTGTATGTTATGATATTTGTTCATCGTTTCCTATGCCATTCATCGGAAATGCGTTTTTTTCTCTCTTATCTTTTTTGGTCCCAAATCTGGTTGTATATTTTGAAGCACAGAACTGTTCACGGACCAAAGATCATAAACTATTTTTTCTTTTTAAAATGATTCATCGGAGTCGTTCATTTATTAATTTTGCTTTGCTTGTAATTTCACATCGTCTTGCTTCATTTCATGTTCGTTGCACAATTTCAGCACGTTATGTTTAATTCAACTTAAATTAGTGATTGCTTCAAATTTCACAAACCATGGATGCTTTCAAATTCATCTTCACTGATTTAAACCAATAATGTTTCAATTAGGGTGTATACATCAGTGCCGCGCCGTACTGTCATTATGATCCATCAGTTGGTAAGTACTTCTGCTCTAAAATTTAAAGCCTTTCATTCTATCCATTAGAATAGCTGAGATTCTGCCGATAAATCGTAGGGTCCTACACCTCGTTCGGACAACTACTGAGGCATGCAAATGCTGGGGAGTTGTGCCAGTACAACAGTGGACTCAATCAATTGTTCAGAAGTGATGAAGTGCATGGATTACAACAAGTTCAGGCTGATGACGAGATACACCAGGTTCAAGGGTATGAAGCTGGTGAGGATTCAGCATATGAGTCTGAACGAGGATGAGAGCGATCAAAGGGAACATGCTACTGCTGCATGTGAGCGGTCAGAAGATGAGCATGCCTCTGGTTACAGTCAGGTTCATATCATTGATGACAACATACCAATAGAAAATTTTGTGAAGAAGGCTACATGGATTGGCACTGTTCAGCAGGCCGTAAACGATCGTGGATTATTTACTGTTGTCTGGTTTGGTGTGAAAGAAAAATACTCTTCCAACTTATAATCCACGATCGTATACGGGCAAGCAAGCGAACAGGCTAATAGATGACACAGTGTCTTATGAAGATGATGTTGAGGTGGTTCAAACAATGCACTATCACAGTGTCATGGCAGTTTGCATACCTCATTTCTATGTTTAGCGCACTGTGTCATGCGCACTGAATGCCATGCACAAGATAAATCGAACCAGAGAGACTTCCCGCCGCCAGTGGCTATCACTACCAAACAATCACGTCCACCCAAGGCCTCAGATATTACATCCTTCTGGTACGGGCGGAGAGCAGCAAACCCAAAATATTGCTGTTGTTTTGACGGATGAAACAGAGGGATCAGGATGCATCCAGTTCAAGAATAAAGTTAGATCTGAGAATGGGGAATACCTTCAGGGCCGCATCCATGGAGACAAACGACGAGCGGGGGGCTGCAGCCGTGAGGTTGGAATCAGGTGGGGGACTGCTGCGGTGGTGCTTAGACGGACAGAACATAAAGGATGCCTAGCGTTTTGCTTAGCCGCCTGTTCAGGATATGTCTAACGAGTAAACAAAACCTATGAATGCATGAAAATAGCGTGACTACTACACGACATAAAAAACATTTTTTTTTGGAAAAAGAGGTAGTATATTCTCATGACAAAATACATTTGAATCATGATATACACGCAAAATTAAAACGAAGAGGCATTGCACCATATGTCTGAATGTCAATGGAGTAGGCACACGTGTGGCGACGAGATTGAAAGAACAGAGAAGGCGAGGGGTGAGAGATAACGGGTGTGGCCACAAACCGTTGTGGTTTGTATTTATTGATCCTCATCCCGTGACTAATGGCGCCCTGTTCGTTTGGGCTGATTTGGATTATAAGCCATGGTTGAAAGTACTGTTGACTGATTTGGTATAAGAGAAAAATACTGTTCGTTGACTGATAAGCCATGACTTATAAGCCAGATACGAGTAGGGGAACATGCCGCCAGTGGACGATCTGGGGGCTTCTTCTCTGGGCAATTTTAGAGATTCAACTATGTTTGAAGAGGTTCAACTAACCCAGTGGTTTCAAAAGAAAATCACATGTGTTCGGTTGGCTGGCCAGCCCACTCATGAAAGCACTGTTTATGTATTTTTTTAGACAGAACAGTGTTTTTTTTCTCATAATAATCAGTCGAAACAGTATTTTAACTTATTTTTCAGTCCCGCCGAGAAATACCGCTAATGGCCTGACGGGAGAAGGGAAAAAATACCGCTAATGGCCTGACGGGAGAAATAGGTGAATTCGTTTGGAAAAAAAAAAAAAGGAGGGAAAGAGGTGAATGATGGAGAGAGAATGTCAGATAAGAGTGAATGTCAGATAAGAGTGAATGGAGAGAGAATGTCGGAGAAGATAGTCTAGTAAACCGGTTGCTGGCAATTTTACACATTCACCTATGCGATTTCGAAAAAAAAACTATATAGAGCTATGCGTAACAGATTGACATAGTCTGCCAATAATTGAAGGCCTAGATATAGTACACCACCAACATGGAGCAGTGATAGCACCAAGAGAGATTGTATCTGAACCCAACATGTAATCTATCTGTTACACGAGCCGGGGCTGATTCACCGAGGAAGGCTATAATCGGGAACGAGAAAAATCCTCGCCCGTGACTAGCCCAGTGGACTAAGCGTGGGCTTCTACTCTTGGCAATGTTAGACCTGCAACGGTATAGCCAAGGCATGTCTTATGCAATGGATTAATATCCCAACAAACCGGTTGCTTAAGTTTTGATTTCACATGTGATTTTCAAAAAATAAAATCGCCATTTGGAGGTTCGTGTAAATGGTTTCTAAAAAGTTAGTTCAAAATTAAAACAAATGCTAATGCTCTCCAAATGCGGCGTGGATGGGCAAAGGTGTTCCAGGTGCGGCCAGTCGCGAGGTCGTCGATGGGGCTCGACGTGATTATTCAGCAGCTCGAGACAATTCTGCACTGTTCACCGTGCAGGGCGCAAAAGTCCCTAACTCACTGACAATTCGACAGGGCGACGATGGGCGGAAGGCACGAGGTGAACCGCAAGCATACAGGCCTGCACTGTCCTCTTGAAACAGTTGTTTGCTCATGACAAAGAGATTAATTAAAAAAACAGAGCGAGTCGCTCGTTTCGTCCCAGTGTATTTCCGTTCAAATGAATGGGAACAGGGAATCTCTCCGGTTCAAAAAAAAAGTAGATCTTTGAATCTAGTTTTCACTAATGCATCATGATATATGTTATTATATTGTTGTAATCTAGTGTTTGAGAGATTTATACAGATTTAAAGAAACTTGTCGCCAACTGAACTTTGACTTACTCCCTCCTTACTCCCTCCGTCCCTTATTATTTGTCGTTTTGGGTTTTCGTGTTATAGCTTTAACTAAATTTGTAGAAAATACGTGCAACATTTATATCTTCAAATAAAATTATTAAAAAATAGATTCAAAGATCTATCTAATGATATGAATTATGCATCATAAATATTAATATTTCTTAATATAAAATTAATCAAAGTTATTTCTCAAAAAACGAGAACGACATATATTTAAGGACGGAGGGAGTTCAAATTTCTATGAACATTTAAGCATGTAATTAGTACACTACTGGGGCCGTATGTACTAATATGTTGACACAAAAAAAATAGTCAAATAAATAAAGTAAAAAATTTTAAAAAATGGGGGTGTAGTACTGTGGCCATGTGATGACGGCGGGCAGCGGCGCTATGGTTTCTCCTATATGACACCTCTATGCGTCGGATGAAATAGTAGAGTCGATAGGAGAGGAGAGAAATAGGCTTGCAATCCACAATCAAATGGGACAAGGCCTATATATTAAATTAATAGCCATCCCGTACAATGACTGCACTTTAGCTGTGGCATTCATCAAGGCTCTGTTCGTCTAGAGCATAGTTGGGAAAAGAAGACAATAGAAGAATCTAAATGAAATATTAAGTATTTTTTATTTTAGTTTTTTCATATGTAATTGGGGATTTACTATGCCGAGTCTTAATATAATCTCACTTCCCTTTGGAAAATTTTATTGAATAAAATATAATATACAAATAATACTTGCCCAGAATTTCCTCCATGGTAAAATGGAATTTGTTCTATATTTCAGTTGGTTAGGGAAAAATCACGATAACCGTGAGCCTGTTGTTTGCATTTTTCAGAAATTTTCTCCAAAAGTGGCTGTCGACTGCAAAAAATAAATAGAAAACAAAGGAAAAGAATAGGCTCTCATCCAAGCCATTGGTTGACCCTTGAAAGGTTAAGATGCAGTGGAAGTTGCAACTGCACGGGATCTTGGTCTCTCGGCGGGGGACGTGCCGAGTGAGGAAGACAGCCCATCGATTCCGCTGGCCGGGCGCCGATTAGACGTGACGAGGCGCAGTAACGGCACCGCCTGCAACGGTCAGCTAAGGCACTGTTTGGATGCCGAAATTTTTGCGAAATGTTACCGTAGCATTTTCACATTTTCGTTGTTATTTGACAAATAGTGTTCAATCATAGTCTAATTAGGCTTAAAAGATCCGTCTCGTGGATTTCGTCTAAACTGTGTAATTAGTTTTATTTTTTATTTATATTTAATGTTTCATGCATGTATCTAAAGATTCGACGTGACAGAAAATCTTGAAAAATTTGATATTTTTGAGTGAAACTAAACAGCCGCTAAAGTACTGCAGTAGGAGTACAACCTACATCGAAGCTGGGACGTGCTACGCTTCTAGGTGTATTTTTCTCTCTTCTTGCCACGGGGCAGTGCAAAAAAAAAAAAATGCAAGGACGGTACTTCAATGACTGTGTCGAGGCTCTTATCTGGCTCTAGTCTGGGTACTAATCTAGCTGTATTTTTCTCTAAAATACTGGTTGTCAGCCTAGTAACCGAATCATGTTGGTTGACAATTTTATTGTCTAACCAACTTCATCACGGAAAGAGCATACAGGGGTGTGTGTGTGTGTGGAATCAACGAAATCGCATAGAGGGAGCGAGCGGCCGAAGAGGTATGGATCGATTAGCTAAGATTAATGCCTAATATGGATTCCATGGTCTTCAGTAACCATTCCGCCGCGGTGAACAGGAGATGAACAGGTTGAAGGAAGAAGCAGCAAGGACTGATGGCCCAGCGTCAAGCATTGGATCCAGATGCTCGGGACAAAGGAGCTGCTGGATGAAGGAAGAAGAAGGGGGAACAATACGCCGCAAGGTACGTAATACTGGACTGGATTGTAATTACTAAATTAATATGGTAATTAAATCTCTAGAAACAATATCTTGGGAATTGAATGGCTATCAATGTGATTAAATATCTCTACATACCTCTGCCTGAGACGTTTATATATCAAAGTAATGTTACAATCTTCAAGTAAACGAGTTTTACTTATAGTTGTGTTGTTTCATTTCAATTGTGGATCTTGTTAGCTTCACTGCTCATACAAGATTGACACGGTGGCTGAAGTTTTTGGGGACATGAAGGGGCATGAAGAACAGCTGTTGAGAGCTATGAAGTTTGGTGGTCTGATGCACCTGCCTAGGATAGAAACAAATGCAGTGAAATCTGTAAACAAATGTAGTAAGAAGGTGAAGCAAGACGTAAGAGCACACACAAAGACAGTAACTCTAGATGGCTGTTTACTACTACTGCAGGTAAACTTGGTATTGTCAAATAAATGAATATATACTGAGCAATTAGTACATACATAATTTTAACATATAAAGAATTTTCTGCAAACAGATAGCATACATGGACAACCTGGATTTTGGAGCATACTCAACGGCACATTTC